AGCTCATGGGGATCCCACAGATGGATTAGGGGACCTGTGGACAGCCACCCCTCACTTTATGAAGCATCGTCGTCGGGGGTGACAGAGGTGGCGTCCTACCGGAGTGTCTGCCCAAGGCTTAACCTCAGGCGGTGTATTAGGTTGGGGGCTTGGCACGTCCGATTTTTACGAGTTTGATCGATTGCCACTACTTTCTGAGGTATCTGAGTGTGGAGGTGGTTGCTCTCTCGGAGGTGAGAAAACTGTCAGTGTGTCACTGTGTCAGTGATCAGTGTAGGTGGCTACCCCTATTACTGGTCGGGCTGCAACGATGGCCACCATCTTCAGGAAGTAGCCATAACCATCTCCAGCAGACTTCAGCCCTCGATGATAGAGGTTACTCCGATCATTGAGTATATAACGGTATTGAGACTGAAGCTTGCATTTGGCTTAATGACTTTTATTGCTATGTATGCTCCTTCCGATGTTTGTAAACGACGTGAAAGAGATGTTTTACACAAAACTTGCTTCTGTTTTGGACAGTTGTCCTCGGCCAGATATTTGCATTGATCTGGGTGACTTTAATGTGGTATCTGGCAGCCATCGAGCTGATTATGAGGTATCTGTAGGTCCCCGAGGTTTGGGAGCTGGTGCCAGCAGCGAGAATAGTCTCCTTTAATGGGGCTTTGCAAGGTCCTAGAAATGAGGTATTCTGGCTTTTGGTACCAGGGCTTTAACCCACATCACTGGACGTAGTGATGTGGGTAATGCAGCCAAAGAGAGACTGATCCTCGTTAGCACCTGGAGAAGGAACAATATATTAGAAGTCTGGCAAAGGAGGTCGAAAGCCATTTCTTAGTAAATGACCTTCGTCCTCCTACCAAGCCCCGAGAAAGCTGAACTCTAAACCCTCTTCACAGGTGACTGCAGGCAGGTCAGTAGGTGGCCAGATCGTCTCAGACTCTGTTGGCGTGCGGGAGCATTGGGCTAAGTATTTTTAGCAGTTGTACTATGGCAATGGATTTGCATCCGCCATAGACTGGTGTCAATCATTTCTTTGAGCTTTTGAGTCTGGTTGTGAGTGCCCACAGGTTTGGCTGGGATGCTGGAGATCGACGGGGAGAGCCGGGGTAGGCCTGGTTGCTGCTGGCTGGGTCTTACTCTGCTGGGGGATCGTGAGTGCTGAACTCGGCCCGGAGCTTAAGAAGGGGTGAGCTGTGCTAGCTACCCGGAAGCGAGGGGAGCCTGCGGTCCTATAAGCGAGCCGTGAGGTGTCCGGTGTCAACCAATCAGGTCTTGGTATGCGTTTTCGCGAAGTTGCTGATAGTGAGGGAGAGAGGTAAGGTTGTGGAGCTGGACCCAACCTGGGTGAAGTATTCCGCGCTGCAGGTTGCAGGGGTCGGCTACAGTACCAGGTTGATCCCCGACAATTAACTTGGATACGGGTAGTGTCGAGATTTCATTTCTAGACCTACCCATCAATGAGGACCCACCCTCCCTAACTAAAGTTATGGGGTCGATCTCCGAGCTAAAGAGTGGGTAAGCAGCAGGTTGTTGCAGAATCCTAGTTGAATTGTTAAAGGGTGTTGGTGAACCAATGGTGCAGGGGTTGCACGCTGTCCTAGCTGCCATCTGGCAGTCTGGTACTGTTGCTCCTTGACCTGTTGAGGGGTTTGGTCATCCCTCTCTGAAAGGGAAAAGGGGATCAATGGGACTGCAGCAACCAACAAGGCATCATACTGCTTAGTATATCTGGCAAGGGTCTCACTCACATCCTTCTGAGACTTCTGAGACATATCAGAGATCACGTGCTGAGGCACCAGAGGCTGGAATAATCTAGATTCACTCCTGGTAAGTCCACAATAAACAGTATCCTTGTGCTTCACGTCATTATAAAGCGTCGTCATGAGCTCGGGTATGCTCGCAGTATATATCAACCTTAAGAAGGGTTTTGATAAGGTGCATCGGGAATCACTCTGAGAGATCCTTAGATTGAGAGGAATCCAAGCCTGTATACTGGTAGTGAAAGTGCTGTAAATTGTGGTGGGGGCCTGTCGAGCTTCTTTGCTGTTAGTTCAGGAGTAAGGCAAGGCTGTGTCCTTGCACCAACACTTTTCAACACTTGCATGGACTGGATACTGAGCAGAGCTACTGTTCAAAGTCATTGTGAAGCTACTCTGGGTAATGCAAAAATACTGACCTTGACTATTCTGCCAGTTTCTATTCTTAGTCTTTGGAAACCCTAGTGGTGGTTCTGGATGCATTTAGCAATGAAGCGAAGCCCCTGGCTCTAAAGGTGTCTTGGATCAAGACCAAGATCCAAGACTTTGGGGACCTGCTATTTGGTCGATAAATGCTTGCGGCGAGAACACTGGTCACAAAGAGTTTACATACAGGGGTCATGAAGTCTCTTGACACATTTGGAGATGCCGGTATTTGTGCAGAAGAACAAGCTATGTATTTTTAAGGCCCTGATGATGCCTTTTTCAGTATAGGGTAGTTCAACCTGGACATTATCCTTTGCCTTGGAATCCGGTCTCAATGCCTTTTGTAATAGGTCCTTGTGCCGGATCATGGGATACAATTGGCGGAACCATGGGTTCAAACAACGGTTGCTCTGTGAAACTGGCACAGGACCTGTTATTTGCTCAATCCGTGATCGACAACTTAGGCTATACAGCCACCTGGCTCGTTTCCCCCGGGGATCCTGTCCACCAGGTTATCTGTGCGAGACAACCCTGGATGGAGGAGGCCTATGAGACGACCTAGGAAATCGTGGTTTGGGCAGATCGATCAAGCCTGCCGTGAAGAGCTTGAGATGGCCTGAGTCCCTGCCTGTCGGCTCACTATGAGGCACCTCTGCTGGTGGAAACGAAGGGTGGACTCGGCAATGCCCCCCGTCGGCGTTAGATCAAAACGTAATATATCATTTTAAAGATCAATATTTATGTATAACTGTCTCTATCTTTTTCTCGGATTGTCTATTTATATACCTGTCTATTTTTCTGTCTATATATATGTGGTATATATACATATACATATATATATATATATATATATATATATATATAATATATATATTATTATATATATATATATATATATATATATATATATGTATATATATATATATATATATATATATATATATATATATATATATATATATATATACACGCATACATGAACACATATACAAGAGAGAAAGCAAAAGAGGAAGAACTGACATACACACAAATCGTGACACGCTAGACACACTAATTCCATTGAATATGTACCTATGTATGGCAGAGAAAAACAGTGCTTATAAACCGACATAAATACCATGCATAAATTGTATAGTTATAACACACTCCCTACTCACATCGCGTTCGCCACCATGCATATCAGACTAACCCAAGCGACGCCTCACTCCAGCATCCTTCAGGACACTCGCTTACAAAAGTGCTCACATTCTGACCCGAAACTCCCTCGTCATCAGCCATTAACCATGGTTAGTCCCCCCACCCACACCCTCTTTTCCATCACCTCACACCCACGGAAAGATAAATACACACAAATGTGAACACAGACGAAACACAGTAACGTGACCGGACAGATGAACAGGAAAATAGCCATGGTAAGAAAAGAAACAACTGTATTTTAAACAATGAACGAAATGTTACGATTTAATTTTTTTATCGCCGTCCGAAGGCACATTCCCAATACGTGTAGAATCTCGCAATCTTGTCAACACCAAATGATAGGATTTAGAGATCTCTCCCGGCAGCCGAAGCAGCAACAACTCCACTAGAACCACTAGAGGTCCTCATGATCTACCACCAACTATATTTTGCCCAATGGTAAGAAACCACAACAATGGCAAACTGCTTCGCATGCGAGGAGACGTCTTGCCAGCCTTGCGGTGGATGAGGCCAATGGAAGCTGAACTTCTGGGTCCTTCTTCGGGGGCCTCAACTTTCGCGCGTACGACGGCGTAGAGAGGGAGGGGGCTGCCTACCACCGGACCCGTAGTCGGTTTTCTTTTTTTTCCGTTCCTACTGGCCTCCTGGCCTTCTGACGGAGCCCACCCGTCTTCTGATATGTGGGGAGTAGACAGCTGGCCCTCGGCTTCCACTACACTGAGTTTACCCTGTGGAAGGACGGAAGAGGCGTACGCCAATGTCATCGGCAGTAGTCAGCGACCTGCGGAGGAAGAATGGGGCGGTTCCTGTGATCGGCCTGGGGGTTTCCTAGTAGCGGATACAAACTCTGGGACGGGCTAAGCAGACATCGGTGGACAGCGCTTGCGAACTTCTAGAATATCTTTTTACTGATGGCGAAAGTGAAACCCGTTCTCCCTAAGGTAGTAAATCTTTTAAAAAAGAAAAAAGAAAAAAAAATGTATATATATATATATATATATATAATATATATATATATATATATATATATATAATACACACACACATACACACACACACACACACACACACACACACACACACACACACACACACACACATATATATATATATATATATATATATATATATATATATATATATATATATATATATATATAGACTTACTTTTGCTTCTTGCCGTTGACTTTGCCGCGGAACTTCAGTTGTTCCCTCTTACACCCTTTGCTGTTCAGATTAAAGAATGGACAGAAGAAACCGATCTCGGAGCCTTCAGGAGTCTGCATGAAGGGAAGAAGGAAAATTATGATAAGTGTCCGGGTATGCATCAGCTGAACCTGTCCGGCATTTTCAGAACCAGGATGGTATTCGCGAAAGGTCACAGACTCCAAAATCTGTCTCTGACAGAAAAAGTCTTTGATTCTAAGATGGACCGGGGAAAATGGTGATGATGACGATGATGATGTAGTAATAATAATAATGATAACGATGATAACGGTATAATAATGATGATAATGAGAGTACTGACAATAACAAAAATGATATTATTGATGCTAATGAAATTGATAGTATTGATAATAATAAAAATGATAATATTCATGATAAACATAAGAAAGA